CCAAAAATTTTCCCGCCAAAAAAATTGCGGAATCACTTTTCCCGCAAAAAAAATTTTTTGGCGGGAAAAATTTTTACCGGAAAATTTTACAAAGTATTTTAAAGTTTTTACAAGTGTTTTGGCGGAAAAATTGCGGGATCACTTTTCCCGCCAAAAAATATTTTGTATTTTGTAGACCTAATTTTGTTTCAAATAAGGGTAAAATGATCATTAAAAATTAAAAGAGGACAAACTTAAAAATGGACTCTCAAATGAGACATTTTTGAAAAGGAGTACTGAAAAAGGGGCATTTTTAACAATTTCTCTAGTTTTTTCTTATATTATTTGTGAAACTACATAAGGGAACATGTTTTGTTTTGAAAAAACGTTTGGTAGTGACGTGGATCACACTGTAAATTCGGATCACCATTGAAATGGTCAACGAATATTGATTATAGAAGGTGACCGGGGGTAGACGGCCAAATCCGGTCTTTCTCCATTTCTCTTAACAAAACCGCTAAAATCCGGTTTAGGATTGATTTGGATTAGGTTAAGATGAATTAGGATTAAGAGTTAAATATTGATCTTGAGCAAGAAAAAGGATTTTATTAGTTCGATTTCAGATGCATGGTACAATGTATGATACAATACCTTTGAAAACTTACACAGCAAGAAGAACACATACGACCATAGGCGAGAGTAACAGCATAGGACAGGTGTAACAGACCATTGCCAATGTTAGATTAAAAATTACATATCTAATGCAACTGAAAGTAAGGAGAGCCAAACATAACCTGCAAATTGGACAATGAAGAAGACAAAAGGCATGAGTATAATTAGAAAGGTCAATATATACGTTTAAGGGATATGGTTGTAAATTTCGTTTGATACGCACCAGAAGAATTGAGTAGTAGTATCATCTAGAGCTGATGAGTTGAATGCTATGGAAGATAAAATCCATAAAAAAACCACAAACCAACCCACGAAGAAACACATCATAAAAAAGTCCAAATCCTTGTTGATTCTGCAAATCAATAAAACCATTATATATATATATATATATATATATATATATATATATATATATATATCTCAATCTAATGCATAAACTGGAAACACAATTTCTATACATATACCTTTTCTCTCTTAAGTGTTCTTCTATAGATTCGGGGCCAACACTTCGGTTATAAAGCCAAAAACGCCAACATAGGATAGGGAGAGTGGCGATACAGCCACAAGTATAACCCGATGATCCATATAAACAATAGTGTTTGTGGATGTTTTTTAATATCTCTTGGCTGAATCAGAACAATTATGGCTGCAACAATCAGGACCAAAGTCACAACAAACTCTATCGAATTCCAAATACTTTCGTTTGTGTATGGATCACGCAATTGTTGCTGATCATTAATTGATGAAGAACTGCCATCGTTCGTAATGTCGATGATGTGTTCGCTCTCGGTCAACAAAGGGCCCTCCATTGATGATCACTTTTGGTTTCTCCTTTTTCTTGCCGATCAAATGAAAAGTTCATTTAAATCCGCGTTGACTCACAACCCATATACCTTTCCTTCTTTGTTTATAAATTTTTTAGTATTTTCTAGACCAAATCAACACTAGTCTTTTTACAATTAAATCATTATCAAATAGTCAGTTAAAAAGAGACATGATGAGGTTCTTGAAAAAATGCAGATCAAAGCAGTAAGACTCATACATCTCCGGGAAATTCTGATACGAATTTCTAGTTGTTTGAAGCTGAGATTTCAATGTTTATATTGCAGATATTTTGGCCAAGTTAAATTGTTAGTAGGTCAAATGATCTGTATAATAGTATTTATTTTCTGTTTTAAGGCAGACAACACAAGAAGAAAGGATCGTGTCTTTCAGTTTCCCACCACTTTTCTATATTGATTATTGAATGTGTACAACAACTCTTGAGCAAAATACCAAAAAAAGAAAAGAATAGAAACCTCATCTCATCATCACCTAACCTGTGATTGACAGAGAGGGCACGAGGATTTGATTCTCAGCCATTTGTCTATACACTCCGAATGAAATACATGTGAACATTCAAGTTTCCTTAGTGCTACTCCCTCTTCCTCTCCATATTTCCCCAAGCATATGCAACAACACTGCACACACCATATATCAAACCATGAAAACAACAATCAAAAATTGGCTTTTCAAAACAGAGTAAATATGATATAAAATTGTTGCTACTCACATCATCATGGCTCGGTTTCTGGAAAACAAATCCGCCTCTTAGACCTTCCCCTACATCATTTGATATCAACTTATCCACCATAGATATGAGAAAAAATGTTCAAAACCCTCGTACGTGATCAACAATATGAGAAAAAAACAATACCTGCACATAATAGAACTGCATATGCAAATCTAATGCAACTGAAAGCAATGAAGACTACACATAACCTGCCAAAGGATAATCAAGAAGACAAAGGTTAGTACTGAATAATTAGGGTTTAACTAATTCTCTACCGTGACATGATTGTGAGTCAAACCTGTAGAGCTTAGGAGCATCAGAAGGAGATGAGTGTCCATAACAAATCCATAATATCCCCAAAACTAACCACACAACAAAGAAACATTCAATTCCCATCTTCAAAGCATCCATTACCCCATCAATTCTGCCACCAACATCCCGTTCGGTTTGATTTAGCTAATTAAACCATTAATTTTAAGAGAAAACAAGTGTTATTTATTATACCTCGTCCTTGAGTAAACCCCAATTCGGTTATATTTGCGGACACACGAAAGGAGAAGAACGAGCGTATTGGCAATACAGCCACAAGTGTAACCGATGACCCATGTTAACAAAAGTGCTTGTAGATGTTCATCTTTTGCCACAGTCAAAACTACTAACGATGCAACAATCTGAACCAAAGTGACTACTAATTCCATTGTATTCCAAAGACTACCACAGCCTCTCGTAGATGAACTTGCACCTTCATCTGACGTTTCGTCATCCGTAGACACAGACGAGCTTAATGAAGAGTAGCTTCTCTCGTCCAAAGACGATCCCGATAAAGAACCGTCGTCGTTTGTAATTTCGATAATGTGCTCATCATTATCATTGTCGGATTCGCTCTCCATTAATTAGCACAAAGTCTTGTTGTGAATTATTCATTAGCTAAAGCCAGCCGACAATATATTATATGCAACTATCTCTACATGAAACCTAGAAATGTGTACAAGGAAATTTGACTAATCTACATAAATGGAAATCTAGCTTATCAATCGGCATGTACACATTCCATAAATATACAATTGGAGATACAAAGAGATAATTAAGGAAATATCTATGAAAAATGGAAATATATCCCGTAATTGATATTTTGATCAGTTCCGTTTCTATTTCGTAAAAAAAATAACAAAAATATGGTATAAATGTGTAAATTATGTGTGATGTAATGTATAAAAAACATAAAAAAAATTTCTTCATATATCTAGTTTGTGGCATGTGTGAATAGCACAAACTAGATATATGAAGAAAATTTTTTATTAGTTTTTTTTTTTTTGTCAAAAACGTAGATATATGAAATTATATTTATATGCACTGTGAATTACGTGTAGAAAAAGAAAATGAAATAATTAAGCTTCGTGTGGGTGTTCGCCATATAGAACTTGTCTTAGCCTTGAGTAACACGTGTTCGGTTGTCGAGAAACATAAATATACGTAGATTTTAATGTGCATTTTAAAATATTCGACCATGAATATGTTGTTTTAGTTTATGTCGTTGATTAAAAGAATGGGATAGAGACATAACAAATCACACATAATATGGGATGTCTAAAATCTAAAAAGATAGTAATGTGTTTATGATCCAACGGCTGAGAAAGAAACCCTACTTTGTCGGTAACAAAATCGTAACCGTCTGATGTGTCGAATCAACGGATCCATATCATCGACATTTGAACACAAAGCGGCAAAAGAATGAAAAGAAATGTTATAAAGATTTCGACAAGATCTTCGAATAGGCCGACAACATAAATCAATGCTAAACAAGCTTGTCTCAAACGCCACCGTTTATGTTCCCATGAGAACATATAAAGTGACAACAGAATAAAGTTCAAACACATTAACACCAATACTTTCAATTAAAAACATCAATATGGCGAATGAGAGTGATAATCTTGGACTTGAAATCACTGAACTAAGGCTAGGTCTTCCCGGAGATATCATCGTCGTCTCCGGTCAGTCTATCTTGGGGAAGAAGAGGGCCTCTCCGGAAGTGGAGAGTAACATGAAATGTGAACCGGCGACAAAGAGTCAAGTTGTGGGTTGGCCACCGGTTTGTTCGTACCGGAGAAAGAACAGTCTTGAACAGACCAAAAGTTCGTACGTGAAAGTGAGTGTAGATGGAGCTGCATTTTTAAGGAAGATTGATTTGGAAATGTACAAATGTTACCAAGATCTCGCTTCCGCTCTACAAATTCTGTTCGGATGCTCTATCAATTTTGGTTAGTTTTGGTTTCTATATAGTATACTTTAGGTTTTAGTCTTTATTAATCAAGATTCAAGGCAACTTATAATGATCCAAAACATCGATATTAACTTTAAAATCTTTATATATGAAAATGAAGATGATACGTTGAAGGAAAGTGAATGTGTACCAATATATGAAGACAAAGATGGAGATTGGATGCTTGCGGGAGACGTTCCTTGGGAGTATGTTTCCAGTTACCTACCTCTATAATCTATTAATCTTCAATTAGTTTCGGTTTATTTAATTTGAAATTGTTTGTGTGCAGGATGTTTCTTGGATCATGCAAGAGGTTAAGGATTATGAAGAGATCATGTAACAGAGGATGAATGATTTTTTTAATAGTCACATGCGTATCTGAGTGAGCCTTGAGATATCTAAATATACATATTTTTAGACTACTCAAAAGAAAATCTCATTTGAATATTAGATCTATGTTTCACTACATAGTACTCAATATGAAAATTTTGAATTGACGATCTGTAGAAGTTGTGTTCTTTTACATAATTCATTTACTGGACTACAGTCAAAAGCCTGCTCTTTTAATCTACTGCATGACAGTTCAGTATCAATAATCAATGAAAGTAGGAAATAGTTATAAACTACAATGATATCAAATACTTTTTTTTTTTTTTTTTTGGGACAAATTATGATATAAAATACTTAAACTACTTCATATCATAAAAATGATATGAAATTCCGAATCTGTTTACATTGCCTCAAGATGGGAGAAAAATGTAATGTACATTCTCGTTACAATAAAAATAACCTCTTGTTACCGATTAGATGTGTCCGAGTTTGGAAGAACCAAACGGCGGATCGAACTAGGCTAAACCGAATTCTAATCAGGTATTAGATGAGTGGGACTGTGGGGAATTCTGTTTTATGAACAAAGAGTAACAGATGAATGAAGACGAACTGGACCATCAATGCGACAAAACTATTATTGGTTAGGAGTTGAAACCTTCAGAATAGCGTGTCAAGTAGCTTTGGAGATGTGAGAATCGCCACAGATTTGAACTGCAAATCCAAAATAAGTCTTATCACTTATGAGACTCAAGGAAACCAAACTCAAACAATACCAAACAGGTTTTAGTATGTGGTTTTAACTGTATAAGCTTACTTTCTCTTGCCTATACTTCATGCGTATAGCGGTTAAAGGGCAACCTTTGGTGTTAAGCTGAAGATCTTGTAAGGCATGGACAGATGCTTTCAGATCTGATGCTTTGTACGTTGTGTAATGCTCAAGTGTTGGATTCTGCGGGAGAAAGAATAAAAAAGAAGTTAAAGATCCAAGATTTTATGGAACTAAACTGTGTCTGGATATAGAAAAGAGAAGCGACATCACAGACCCATGGGTGGTTTGATTGGTCCATTGTCCACTTGGCAAGAAAAACTGCTGAAGCAGCAACAACGGAAGGAAGAAACTTCAAGAAATGATAGTCTATTAATGTCAACTCTGTTAGATAGCTGGCTAGAAACTCGACTTCAAGGCTCGGGCTCTGCCGAATCAGCAATCAAATACCGACAAATTTTCAGTCTTTCTACTAAACTTTGTAACTGGAAGAGAGATGCGAGCAAATTGCAAAATGCATTACCAGGTGAGAGGCGTGCGCTGCTCTGAGAAATCTCCTGAGGAACGTTTTTGGAGTGGGAGTGTATATTTGAAAGCTAAAATGCTTAAGTACTTGGTTCTCCATTTCCAAGACCTGCACATCACGATTCCATTAGCACATTAGTACATTGCACACTTTATTTTCCGAGGTTTCAGACAGCAATCTCGGTAGTCGGTATACCTGATCTCTTGTGTAGGTGTTATCCGTAATGAAGCAAAACTCCTCAATGCGCGGCGCAAAGATTTCCTCATACTTCCTGTAAAGTTTCAAGTATAAACAAATATAAGTTTAGTTTCATTTTTGAGAAGAAATTTACAAGTGAGATTGGAGAGGAACATACGAGGCAATTAGCATGCAAGTGATGCCGAGCAGTTGAAGTTGCTGTCTTTGCACGTAGTTTCCATGGAGGAACCAGTCTATGAGATACACTGTGAGGTAGAGAGTGTCAGATGCAAGTGTGTATTCTTCAGAGACCTGCGATTGAAATCAGACTTTTGTTAGAACCCGGAGAAGGGCATAGAAGCTTCAAAAGTTAGCATCAAAAGTGGAACTAAACACTAACCTCTACAAGCCAATCAACCAGAATCCCCCGCATGGACTGGGTGACATCCTTCTGTATTCTCTCCATAAAGTCGGGAACTGGTCTGTGTTTAAGCTGCAAGAAGAGAAGTGACACAGAAGCACAAGGAATCAAACTTTCAGTGCTTTGCCTTACCAAGTTTTTTTAAAGACTATCAAAGCCTAGGAATTACCTCTGAAACACGCAAATTGTAGTAGATTTCAGGGGCATAGAGGCAGCACAGTAAAGGATCCTTGTCATCTGAATCAATGTCTACGAATTTCGGGATATCCGGTACAGTTAAACTACCAATAACAGCACTTTTCTCAGCTGTAAACATTTGCAAAAGAAGATTTATACGTCATTAAATACCACAATAGGAACTAATCACATGAAAATTTGTGTTAAATGGATCACCTGTAGAAGCTGATCTCCCAAGAGGTCTTGGAGGCAATGTGAAATTCCATTTCTCAATACAGTTATCAGCTGCATTTGTGCCTTTACAAACAGACAGGTTTCCTGCTGTATTTGATACAACTTCTACTTTTGCATCAGTCCTGGACTGAAGATTTGTGACTTCTGAAGTAACAGAAGATGCCAACTGGGATGTACTCGCCAATCCCTGTCCCCGTCCTTTCTTTATCTGCTTGATGTTTTTGGCCTGAAAATGGCAAAACCCATGTTCCAGAGATGCATGTTTTACTTCACAAGATATTTACGGAAACCACACACTATAAAGAAACATAATGTAGTATTAACAACCTCAAGTATAGCTGATGCATTGGAGTTAACATTTGTGATCTCCCCTAGAACCGCTCGCTTCTTCCTCTTGTTTGGTCCAGTGGCTCTTGTATCCTCCAAGGCTGGTCTTTTTGTGTTTACTCTCTGTTGATTCTGTGTGGTAGAAGTCACTTCTGAAGCGCGCAAAGCAGAGGCAAGGGAACGAGTGAATGGCCGAGACACAGCATTTTCTTTCCCCATGTTTAAAATCCCACGAGAAAACACAGCCCCGAAAACGTCTTAGAGTCTTAGGATTGCATCATCTTCATCTGATCTGTCAAATTGAAGTCAAGAGAACGCAAAGATCATCAGTTAAGGCAATAGAGAGATCACAATTCAGAGCAGAAAGCAATCTGCAACCATGCATACAAAAAAGATGGCCAATTTGACTTAATGCTAGAACCAACTGATTCTTACGGAGCCAAGAGTATCAATGGAAGAAGATACATTAAAGTTCAAAGCATCAAACTTTTTTAAAAAAACTCCGTAAGATTCAGTGGTAGAATCAAAAGTTATTTGATTTCCTTATTGAACAATGCAAACAGTAATGCAGAAAAAGACTCCAATTTTATAAAATCTAGAGAAAATATCACTCTGAAATTTGAAGAAAAAAATATTAGGAAAACCAATATTCGACAATCTAACTACTCTTTCTTTCTTTGATGGGTTTTATAAATACAATCAATCAAAAAAAAAAATCGGAAGAGACGCATCAGCTACATTTCCTTGGGGAAACGAACAGATCGTGAGAAACCTTTGCAAACCCATAAATCTCAAAGAACCCACAAAACCCTATGCCTAAAATCAACCCACATTCTCTTCCTTTTTCTTCACATTCTACTTGAGGAAAGCTTTCAACTTTGTAAGAAATCCACAAAAAAAAGTTGAAAACTGCGGCGGCTCAAACACAAAACGAAATGCAGGTACGCGGATGCACAAGCATGAGCATAAAAATCAAAACTTTCTGATAAAATTTAACAAAATTAAGTTAAAAAAGATTTGAGATTTGACCTGAGAAGCTCCAGTAAATTCTTCAGGGAAAGAAGAAAGATGGGAGCTTTGGACACAGATCGAGATGGTGAATCCTGAATCCGCTCTTTGGGGAAAGAGACTGTCTTTGAAAGTGAAGGACACACACACACACTAGTGTGGTTTAAACGATAAAGAAGACACATTTAGAAATAATTAAGGAAAAAAAAAAAAAACTTTATTAAAACAGTGTTTTTAAAAAAGAAACATTACAAAATGTTTTCATGTAGTACAGAGAAGAATGAAATTAAAATTGTCCTGTTGACCTGACCATAACATTAACATATGGGAGAGATAAATGATAATTGAGTTAATTAAAGGGAAAATTGGAAATAAGGGATATCTACTAAACTTTTTGTCCATATATACTTTTTTGGTGAAATTGTCAGTTTGGACGAAATTACCCTTACACCCTATTTTAAATATATTTTTAAAAAAATAATCATAAAAACATGTAGATATACAAGAGTAGAGGTGATTTGATCTAAAAAAATTTAGATTTGGTTTTAAAAAAGTTGATTTTTTGATAGATAAAGTTTCATCTAATTTTATTAGAATACGTTTTCTAGAGTTCTGCGAAACTCAGAGTGTGTATTCTGCATTTTTGTATATGTTCTACATATTTTAGACTAGATTTCTGTTCTAAAAATTTTAGAAATCCGAAAATCATATATCTAAAATATTTAGAACATGCATTCTACGCTTTGCTCTATGTTCTAAATTTTTTTGAATATCCATTCTACTAATTACTACATCTTCTGCCATCGTTAGATTTTGTAATCTTCTTTTAGAATGTAAATTCTACGATACTGTAGATTTGGTTTTCTGAAATTTTTAGAATTTTCTAAATACAGAAAGTAAATCTTCAGAAAAGGAAACTAGATATTTATCGTAGATTACGTTTTAAATAGATATTAATTGTTTAGATTACGATCTACATAATTTAGAAATTGTTTTCTACGTTTATTAGAAAAAATTAAAACCAAAAACGTTTCTAAAGCCTAATTTAGAAAAAAAAAAACTGAATTTAGAAATTATTGTCTAATATTTTAGAAAATTTTGAAACTAAATCGTCTAAACCCTAAGCTCCCATCGATTTGTATTTTATGCTACTCGGTTTTTCTTCTTCTTCCCTAATCCACGAGTTTGCATTCATCTTCCACATATTTGTATCTTATTTTACCAGTTTTTTTTTTCTTTTTCTTCCACGATTTGTATTAGAATTGGATTTATCAGTAATACTAATGTTTATAAATATTTTATTTAACTTTATATAATATCATATTCTTAAAATAAATAAAGTCAAAGAGATGTATAGATCTCGTTACCAATACCTTATGAGATCAGTATATACTTATCGTCCCACCTTGTATCATAGAAAAGTTCAAATACACCATGTGCTAGTTATCCATTTTATTCACTGTTTTTCATTCATAAATAATCTCTAACTTTTCCAACTAATTGGTATATTATTTAAAGTTTCACGGAGGAAAAAAAACACGTTTTTAAGTTTTTTATTAGGTCTCATAAGACTCTTTTTGAGGTAGAGGTTTAGTGGTTTTAGATTTCTATTTTAATTTTGTAAATAAATTAGGAAGTTTTATTTTTTAAAATTAAATTTGAAAGAAAATAAGGGTAAATTTGGGTTTTAAATTTTTAATAAACCTATATGACCAATCTACTAAAATAAGGTATATATGGACAAAAATTATAGTAGATATCCTTTATATCCAATTTCCCCTTAATTAAATTAGTGCTTAATTTTTTGAATTTAGTAGCCAACTTAAACATAGATTTGGGTGATCAACCCGTGAGATCTGGGTAAATTATTTGTCTATAACTGTGATTTTATTTTTGTCGCATTTATTATCCTTTTACGTACAATGGTATATGTGCCATTAATTCACCGTTTACTAATTAATGAGAAGCAACCGAGCTACAAGTTAGAATCCCTAGCCATTAATACAACTTTTTGTTTTCATTTTTTCTTTTTCTTTTTGGTTCACATGTTTTTTATTTTTTACTTTTGTAGCAAAACTAAATCTCTTAATTACCAAAGTAAGTAAAATGAAAACAGTCCAAATCGGAGGTCCCAACAACGATAAAATTACATTGCGAGTGGAGTGGTGTATGTTAATTGCTGCAGAGATCTGGTCCAGCTTCGTCTTCTTGCTTTTTAGAATTTTGTTGATGTTTCTTGTCGTAGCTTTGTTTGCTCTTGTTATGTAGTAATCTTTGTTAAAACAGTAGTAACAATAAATTAAATGATTGAAAATAAGAGTTATACTTTAACAATGATGCATATATTTACACCAATAAATCAGTGATCAACTTTTTGGAAAAATGTAAGAGTATAAGTCAACGATATTTTCTTTGGTTCCTTTTGATAGTATGATGAGTCAATCATAGTTTCTTTGAAATTAGTTACAACACGTGATTATATAATCAGGCTCGTTCGAGTTTTGAATTTCAAAATAAAACTTGGTTGTGTATCTAAAGTCTTATTATTATTTTACTTGATTTACTCTAAAGTTTAATAATGATTCTAAAATACTAACGAGTAGAGATGGACGTATAACAACAAGAAGTCATGGCCCTAATAATGTTTATCCTCAAACCAAAAAGGTAGATCTAATATTCAAAACACAGACAAAAGTCACACAAAAAAAAAGTTAAAAGAGAGATCTGAGATTTATTTATACTGATACAAAATTTACTGTATGCATGGTTGGTCCAATTTCAAGTTTTGAACTCAGATTTTCCCTCCATTCCTCCTTGCCGCATTAACTATAAGATGTACATTTGTTAGAAAATGAATTGATAAGCTACAAATGGATTTTACATAAAGGATATGCTTGGTGGTCCATATCCATACTTATTTAAAATTCTACAGTACAATCACGTGAGTACAATAGTAACCATGGCTTTAAAAAAACATTAAAAAGAAACAAAGAAATATGTTATTTGTTTTATGCTATGTTTTTGAGACCAATGGTCCCTTCGTTATATATAGTGGAGTGACGTTATAAAAATCATTTTTCTATAGAGAAATGTCAATGACAAAATAATAATAAAAAATTATTAAAAATGTACCTCTAACTTTTGCTGGTTATTTTATAAAATAGGCCCATTCATGGCCCATCTACGAAATCTGGGAAATTTCAACATTGAAATCGGCCACTAAATTAAAAGTGGTGGTGGGAGATAGAAGGATCCTATGACACTTCTTAGATTGTATCATTGCTCAGATTAACAAGTAAGTATGCATGTTGCTTTCTTCAACGTCGAGCGATTTGCTAGTTATATGTCTCATTTGGGACTAGTATTTTGATACTAGTATGAAAATTCCTGCGCAATGTGTTGTGATTTGATTGAATTTTGGAGCGATTTGCTAGTTTTCTGAGAATTTCCTTGTGTTTGATTGTCTCCTCAAAATGGATGTACGTATAATATTCCTGCAAAGTTGTCTGTTTTACAATTGTAGACGAGCTTATGGTTCAATGAGCTGATTAGGGAGAGCTATATCATTCTGATGTGTGAATCTTTTTTGGTGTTTCAAAATTCTGAATTTGTATGTAGGAATTTGAACACTCTCTATGATTCATCGAAAGGAAAGGGATTGCAAAAGCAGCAATGGGATGGAGTAGACAGGAACTTGTAAAAGCAGAGAGGAGAGAGCATTCAAAGCAGCTCCTACTAGTCGTCGTGCTGCTTCTCCGCCGATCAAATAGACTGATTACCAGTAGGAATCCTCTGTTTTGTCTAGCTTACTTTTAATATGATGACTGACAAAATGCCTTGGAAAGTTTCAAAGTGGGTTTTATTTATTTAATACTCTTGCTTGGTCGTTATCTTTGTTATACATCAGAATGGCGATGCTGAAGAGAGTAAAAGTGCGAGAGTATGAGGGAACTGATAGTCTGGCTTCCGTTAGGGATGTTGTTGCAGTTTTTTCTGAAGCAAAACCGGCTGCTTGAGGATCCTTTATGTTAGCCCGAATACTTTCAGGTACTTTAGGCTTTCCAATTACAAAATCTTATTACTAACCAAACAACAAAATATAAGAAAGAAAATATCAGTTTCAGTCCATGTTATTTTGGGCTTAAGGGTATTCGAAGGCTGTGGAAGAGTTGTAATGTTTGGTCTGTGCTGTTGGTCAAAGCGGTTGCCACCGAGTGTAGTAGTTCATTCTTCAATGTCTGATGCATGTTTGATCTTCTTATGCATATCTCGAGGGTAACTTCCTCTAGCCTTAAATATTTGCATTCCCATGGGACATAGATGGACCTCTCAGGTCACTTCTCTTATAATCTTTCCTCTTTCTCTGATTGTTTGAATGAGCCTACTCACACTCGATTCATATATTTGCAGGAGGAGGATGGCAAAACGATATACATCTCTCCATCATCGAAAGCCATAAGGCACTTATCCATATTATATTAAGAGCAATTGAGGTTGAATTATAAGCGGTTTCAGTGGTTATACATAACTAAGATGCGATCATTATAACACCGGAATCGTTTCAAGTGGCCAGTGATGCTGACATTGAGGAGATGGCTAGGGGAAGCAATTGATACAACGGAGGCGATCTGACAAATATGAGTAGGGACGCTCGTCAATATATGGAAAACCTTAGGGATGAGCTCAAGAGCATGTCTAAAAGACGATGTCTTATCTCGACAAATCCAATAGTAATGTTTGATTTCGAAGAGGCACTGTACAAGGACGTGCCACAGATGTCGTGAAACATGACAAGTGGTTCCCAGAGTTCAGATTGGCCAAAAACATCCCGACTTTGATCGTTACTTTCTTCTACCATTAAGTTTTATCTAAATGATACTTTTGGACTGTTGTGCACTGACATAAAAGATAAATTTTGAGATTGGAGGCCTTTATCATTGTCAGCTAAAAGAGTAATTTGAACTGAACTGCGCCATGTTCACACACACACACACCAACGAAGATAAGTTCAATTTGATCAATTATAGATTGTTTTTAGTGCAACAAAAATTGCCATAGTTAACATTAATTAATAGTCAAATATCATATTGGCGTTTCGCTGTGATAAACAACAAAACAAGAAAAACAGTAAATGCTCTTTCATCGCATAGTAGATCATATGGACTAGTTTTTTCTGCTAAAAACTATTTAGCAGAAAATGATAGGTTTGGAGAGAATAGTTTGGTTAGTTACGGTTATCTATTTAAATATCCAAACCGAACCGAACCGAACCGAACCGAAATTCTTAAAATATCCGAATGGTTATTATATTACCATATCCAAACTAACCGAAACCGAACGTAACCGAACCGAAACCGAATGGTTAACCGAATGCCCAGGCCTAGGTAAGAGATTGTGGTATACTATATAGTTTTTGAAACTTAAAATTTAAAAAGGGTAAAAAGAACAGAATTTTTTTTTTTTTATCAACCAGAAAGAACATAACTTTCTAAGATTATTTATTTATTTACAATCTAAGAACCATGTTGGTTTATTTCAAAATTGGGGAAAATGTTATTATATTTCTAAAATAAAAATCGTTCATGTCATTTTTCTAAAAGAAAATTTTGGTTTTAAATGCATTTTTCTAATGAAAAATTGCACTAGATAACCTTAAAAAATAACAAAATTAAATATCTAACCTCTAATCCCCCTATTCACTCTCTTTCTCTTCCTATCTCTCTCTACCTTCTTTCTAAAAAACTAATTTTTCTTTTTTTTGGGTTATTCACCTAAATCACCCTTTTTCTAATTGTTTTTTTTTTGCAAAATAATTACAATTTGTCAGCGACAATAATATTTCTCTCCTTCATGTTTCCTCATCTTTCCAACATCGGAAACTACAATTTTGACCTCTTTATATTAACCAATATAATAACAAAAAAAAACTGAAGGTGCATGTTTTTTTAACGATTATTAATAACTTATGAGATATTGTTTTATATCCAATAGAATAAAACGAAATGTTTCTAGACATATCTTTATGAAAATATATATGTTATTTATCTACTTGTATTTGGACCTTATGGACTGACACAAAAACTTATCAAATATGCGGCCTTCAATTTTCGTCACTCCCGACTGGTGTAAGGGTTATATGAACAAGTGAACAACAGTTCACTTTAAGGGACTAATGATCTTATAATGAGTAAAAAGATAGTAATAATTGAGAGAAAGCAAAACTGATGGAGGAAGTTATTAGAGTGTGGTTTAATATGGTTTAGTCAGATTAATTTCTCTGTATCGTTTACATGATTGACTTATAGTGTCAAACAGAACATCCGGTTTACTCCGGTTTACAATAACAGAAAAATCAATCTGACTAAACCATATTAAACCACACTATATATAATTTGTAAAATTCGTATAGTTCTTAAATAAATGACTATATATATATATATATTAAAATTCACCCTTGTTTGGATAAAAGTTGTAACAAGGAAGAACAATAATGATTTAAGTACAAAAACTTATCAAATATGCGGCCTTCAATTTTCGTCACTCCCGACTGGTGTAAGGGTTATATGAACAAGTGAACAACAGTTCACTTTAAGGGACTAATGATCTTATAATGAGTAAAAAGATAGTAATAATTGAGAGAAAGCAAAACTGATGGAGGAAGTATATATAATTTGTTAAAATTCGTATAGTTCTTAAATAAATGACTATATATATATATATATATTAAAATTCACCCTTGTTTGGATAAAAGTTGTAACAAGGAAGAACAATAATGATTAAGTAATAGTATACGCTATATACAAACAGTATACTCTTAATTTCTCTAAATTTTATTAAAGTGTTATGAATTAAGAGAAGTTTTTTTAAGAAATATGCACTTTGTCATTATTAAAAAGAAAAAACTCTAACAATCAGGGGCTAATCGAGAACCTATTTTAACTCATGACACAATAATTTTTACATCAATATATTTTTTTTTTGCAAATTTATCTTACTTTTTTCTATATTTTGAAAATTTTTCACTACAATCATTTTGAACTATTATGTTTTAACAAAATAAACTAAACAATCGTTTAAAATTTGTTTAGCCCACATATACCTCATATCTCATGACATAACTAACGTTTCTATCTATTGGTATTTTTGTTGGGTTGGACACATTTGTTTTTTAATTGGCTAATAAGACATATTTTAATGTTTTCTTTGTATTGTTAACTTGGAGTATTGTAGTGTTTATAAGAAATCTGCTTGAAAAACATAAAAGAGTATAGGGCACGTGCCCACCCCAATTGTGCTGTGGATCCGCCAATGCTAACAATCACTCCAAATGGAAAAGAAAATTTACTTCAAATTTCAAAAGTACTTGGATTTATAAAAGTGCCTCTTTCATATTACATTTGCAAAATAGAAAATGTGTTGTCAAATCTTTAATTAATCCCTATTTTGTTCTAAAATCTGAGAGAATATGCTTGTCATTTCGACAACAAACATTTATCAGATCACATTCGATTTCAAGAGTAACAAGGCACGTGAACTGGTTGGTATTGACTTGGTGGTTTAACTTTTGTAAAATCGATATTTCTAAAATTAAATATAATATAATACCGATTTTATTGTGATGTAACTATAGATATTTTTACATTATAGTGTGTAACATTTACAAGTTCCCTGAAAAAAAAAATTTAAAAAAAAAAGGAAAATGTCGTGAAAAAAACATAAAAAGTAACGTAACATTGATCAGGAGTCATCGGTGTTAACTAAATAAAAAGTAACTCTTTTTTTTTTGAACACGAAGTAACTAGTTATATATTGTAGAGTCGTTTGGTTTGACGTGATCGTAGACTCGTAGTATGTTGGGTAAAAGGACATATTTCAATATTGTCGTTTTCTTGGTTTTGTCTATACTCGTTTGAAACTTTTTGTTTTTCTTTCAACATACTCGTTTGAATATAAAAAAATTTGCAAGTAATAGATAGAAAACGAAAACAGGTTTAATTAAATGTCTGTGTGGTGTTAATTAATGTCGGGATCCATGTAAGGGTTAAGGATAAAGATATGGGGGCAGGCTCATGGCAAAGAAAACGATGGTATCCAATGACGTTGGGAGCAAACGCATCTTAACTTTTATTTTAATTATTTTCAATTTTATTAGATTAATAAGTCTGGATCATTGGTTATGTTATTAAAATTAAAGTAAGAGAACTGTTAAAATTAGGTCCGACACATAATTCCAAAACTCTAGGTGGCGTTTGTACATTTAGTTATAAGAAACAAAAACCCTAATAAGTCCAGATAGGGTTTATTTAATTACACGTGGATGATTATGGTCCATATCAAAGACGTATAAATCCCTTAAAGCCAAGAGATAAGTATCCCATTCTGGCTGTCACGAATAATAATATTTTCCCTTGTAATATCTCCAAATTCATATTGTAATTAACCTTTACGTTACACTTTCATATAAATACAAAATAATATATTAAAGTCCTTTATCTACAGTCCTTTCATAAATATAAAACGTACAAGAAAATCATTTTCACTCAAAACATATCTACGAAAACTCGTTTTGGTTTCTTGTTACTTGAGACTCGAAGGTTCCCAAAACAAAATATAGGGCATTTTTTGAAGCCTATGAAAGATATATACAATGCTTCCACGGTTCTAGAATTGAATAATATGAATAAGAAGTTAAGAACACGCTTAAGAAAACACCTTCTTTATTAACTTTAGAACTAATTCAAACTAAAGTTCTTCTTAATCTCTCTCAATTCTCTTAAGCTATATAGTAAACCTCAAAACCCTAATCATAACTCGACTAAGATTACATTAAATCTTATAGATAACTCCTAAAAGATCTAGCCTTATCACTTCGTTAAACCGTTGTCTTGCGGTTCAAGTAATTGTCGGTTTACTTCTCAAGCTTAAACCAACAACGGTTATGTTCATCACTACTCAATATTGTTTAATCGTGCGTACAAGATTTTTGATAACGTTGTTTTTTAAGACGATCTTGATTTCGCTAAATTATTGACATTTTATATTAAAAAAAAAATTCAAATTAAAAATCCATAAATATGAAACCTTTTGACAAAAAAAAAGAAAAGAAAAATTCATATATTGTATATATATATTAAATTATACAAATTTGGAGCACTATATCCCCAAAAGAAATATTTTTTTTTGAAGTTTATATATTACAAAAACAAATATTATAGGAAATTTAGATATTTTTTAATAATCATCAATGAAATAATATTAAAGCTCTTACACAACCATATAGTATTCATACCTACACATGCTCGTACATATATACACTCATAAATAGAAATAATGTACATATAGATGTGTTTGTTCTGGGTGTGGGGTTAGAACTGGGAGACAAGGTACGGGAGAACAATCTCTAGCTCTATGATGAAAATCATAATTATTCTGTTTTGTGACATTTTGGAAAGCGATGTAGAGACTAGAGAGCATTATGTGAGGAGCACGTGCATGGATGATGATGAAGATGATGATGATGATGCATGTGCTGTGTACATGTCCATGTGTTATGTGTACTATTAATTACATATATTCCTTGTTTTCCATAAATAAGTTTGGCTTTGTTCTTTTAATAATGTAATGCACGTAATTTAAAATAAAAATAAAAATAAAAATATCAAGCTTCACCGTGAATCCGTGATCAAATCGAAACACCAACAAAACCGAGTCATGAGATCATTCAGGCTCAGTCTTGTTCGACATTGTCGTGTGAGATCATTTACATCATCATCATCAAAATACAATATTATTTATTAATTAAACCAAAAAAAATTAAAAAATACAATATTAAAACCAAATTAACGAGATTATCACTTAAATCAAACAGCCAATTATTATTAAAATTTCTCTTTTGTTATTGACAATTTGACATAATGACACACAGTCACATT